AATACTCTTCTCCAGGACCACAGATCAAAGGCATCAGTTCTCCTTCTGTCATCACTAGTCATTTTCTGCCTTTCCAATGGATAGCAAGGAATTGCAAAGATTATGGCCTGGATCAGGCGCATCTTAGTCTCCCAACTGACTTCGTTGCTCTTCAGTACTTTGGAGATGTTCCTGACAGCAGACTTTCCCAGTGCAATTCATCTTTTTATTTCCTGGCTACTGATACCGAGAGTGTTGATTGTGGAGCAAAGCAAACTAAAGCTGTTAACAATCTCGAATCTCTTCACCATCTCTAGCACAGAAAATTCTATTTCTGACTGGATTTGGATTTGGAGGTTGAAGCTCTCAGAAAGGACTGTCTCCATCTCTTGGCGATCTGCTACTGGCATTTTTCTTTGGCTACCTTCCTTCTCTTGGCCAAAAGCTTAGCTTACTCTGCAGCCTCCTCCTTATTCTTCTTAGTGCACTTTTTTTTTGTGCCAACACTAATGCTGCAGAACACATAGATGCTGAATTGTGGGAGCTTTGGTCCTGAGTTTCTTGCCTTCTTTATTCAGTGGCTTTCTTACAACACAGTAACAGACATCATATTCCTTGGAGAGATTGAAGAGTTTGTGAATTCCGCTGGCTTTTTTGGGCCCCACATGACAAGGCACAGTATTATCAATCAATCCTGGGGTATCCTTCTCTCCTTTTTTCACAATAACCAAGTTGAGAACACTCAGATTGGCATCCATAGTGCAACCCTAGACAGATTTGCATTTCCTCTCTCCAGTTCTCCGTGGTCTGTAACAAGAGTACCCTTTACTCAGTAGCAAGCAAACTCAGCCATGGAGCTGAATACCCTGCTTCATGGGAAAACCTTGTTTGTCATTTCCACCACTGATCTGGACAGCTTATCCCTTCCACTCATCACCAAGAGAGCAGCAACTTTCATGGCCATTCACTTGTAATAAATTGTACGAAGTCGGCACCCCGCGCGACTTCCTGCCCCAGTGCCCAAGTTGGCAGCGCCAGAAGCCCCTTCCTCAGGCTTTGTGGAAGTGGGCTTCCGATTGTGGTTGCTGGAGAAGAGCAAGGACTGTTCGCCAAGTCACCGCTGATGGCTCCAAACCTCTGGAATGAAGGGTATTGTCACAAAAGTCTAGAGAGATCTTGATTTCCGTTCTTTGAGTAGGCGTAGTGGAAGACTATGTTCAGGGAAGATTGTGAAGCCATCTACCTAACACTCTAGCACACTCAACTTTTCCCTATCGTTCTGTCTTATTAATGTTTATCCTGTCACGTCATGAATCACACTGTCATCTTGATTGGCAAGCAGAGTTACTGGTTGCTAGAGCTAGTTTCCATATTCACTCACATCGACGGATGTCCTCTGGACCTTCAGGACGACTGGGATGTGTCAGAAAACAGACTAGACAAATGGTTGAGTGGAAAATCATTGTGTGGTGTAAGCTTGCAGTGAAATCATAAGTAAAAAGTTTAACAAGGAACAAAAAAATGTACAAAGTCTGCGTTCATCATCTACATCAATGAATTTTTGGCAGCCAGTGGCTGGGAAGGAGATGTTCAGCTTCATGGTAAAGCAGCCAATTGCCCAAGTGTTGCTGTGAAAAAGAGCAGAAAGAAACTTTTTTTAATGGTTACCAGGGATGTGTTTAGAGAAAAAGGTAGACTCACTAGATAATACCCAAGTGTTAATCATTGTAGTTTCATTTGCTTGCTATAGGCATGTGAAATTGGACAATAAATAAGGAAAACTGAAGAAAAATTGGTGCCTTTGAAGTATGATGTTAGCCAAGAATATGGCATATCTCATGTTATTAGGTGCTGTTGAGTCAAGTACTACACTAGCGACCCTATGAACAAAAGATCTGAACCCTATTCTGTCCTGCACCATCCTAACTCTTCCTGACACACAAAAGCCCACTGCAGCAGTCACCATGTCAGTCCACTGGATCGAAGGTCTTACTCTCCTTCACCAGCTCTCCACCCTTCCCAACTTAATGACCCTCTCCAAGGAATAGCCCCTCCTAGCTATATGCCCCAAGTATGTGAGATGAAACCTCATCATTCTTGCCTCCCTTCGCAGCAAAGATGGTGAGGCATTGTCTCACATACTTTGGGTAGGCTCTCAGGAGGAGACAGTCCCTAGGAGACAGAAAGACCCTCAATGAGATGGATTGACACAGTGCACCAATGGACACAAGCATCACAGAGTGCTCAAGAATGAAGCAGTGCTGAGCAGGTTCTGCTCTATTGTGCTTAGGATTGTTATGAGTCAGAGGTAACTTGATGACATCCAGCAAAAATAATTATGGTGAAGGGAAAGGCAATGTACAAAATGGAGGAAGCGAGGATAACATGAGCAGGGTAAAGAAGACCATGTGCAGGATGTAAAAATAAATATGGGAAATGCTGCTACATAAACAGTCTTGGAAAAGCAGTAACGATTTATGAGTGGAAACATAGGTACATTTGTATGCTAAGTAGGTGAAGGAAAGTTGTAGCAGAGCCCACCCATGTGCATATATATAGTTATTATTGAGAATATGTTTACACATATATTTTGAAAATCCTGCATGAATACTCGTATAATAAAGCTCATGGCACAGTTATAGAAATTACTTAGGCGTTGTTTTTATTGTTAGGTGCCTTTGAGTCGAGTACAGCTCATAGCAACCTCACAAACAACAGATCTGAAGCCTGTCGTGTCCTGTGTCATTTTCTCCATCCCTGATACACTTGTACAGATTGCTGCAATCTCTGTGTCAGTCTGTATCATTTAGGGTCTTCTTCTCTTAAACTGACCCTACACCCTTCCAAGTATGATATCCCTTTCCAAAGACTAGCCTCTCCTAGCAACATGTTCAACATACGAAAGACAAAGTTTTGCTATTTTTACTTCTAAGGAGCACCCTGCTGCACACCTGTTCATTCTTTTGGCAGTTCATGAGATATTCAGTACTCTTTTGGAAGCCACAATTTAAAAACATCAATTCTTCTGTCATCCTTATTCATTGTCTATCTCTCAAATGCATAGCAAGTAATAGAAAGGGCTATGGCCTGAATCAGGCTCACCTTAGTCTTCAAACCAACATCAGTGTTCTCAGTATTTTGGAGTGGACTTGCCCAAAGCAATACATCTCCTGTCTTTTGACTGCTGGCATTAAGGCTGTTGATTGTGGATCCAAGCAAGAAAAATCATTAATAGTTCCAGTCATTTCTCCCTCTGTCATGGTATTGCCCACTGGTCCACTGGTCAAATATTTTTTCTTGATATTGTCAAAATGCAATCAATATGGAAGGCTGTAGCCTTTGATTTTCTGCAGCAAGCACTTTAGGTCCTTACTTACAGTAAGCAAGGTTATATCATCTGCACAGTACAAGTTGTTGATGAGTCTTCCTCTGATTCTGATGCTGCATTCTTCTTCACAGAGTCCAGTTTCACAAATTATTTGCTCAGTATACAGATTAAATAGGTATGGAGAAAAGATATAACCCTGAAGCACACTCTTCCTGACTTTAAGCCATACAATGTTCCCTTGTTTTCTTTGGACAATAGCTTAGTAGTCTAGGTATAGCTTTTGCATGAGTACAATTGAGTTCTGGCATTCCCATTCTTCTCAATGCTAGCCATAGTTTGCTGTAACCCACACAGTCAAATGCCTCAATGATATCTCTGGTGGAACGCCCTTTTCTAAATCCAGTTAGAACTTCTGTTTCAGCCAATTTTGGATAATCTTTAGCAATGTTTTGCTTGCATGTGATATTAATTCTATTATTTTGGAATGTCCACATTCTGTTGGATCATCTTTCTTGGGACTGAATTATTGAACTTGAAGGCTCAGAACTGTAGTCTGGAGGGACATCAAGTCAGTTGACAAAACAATTAAAAAAGATAATGTTCTACATCAGTGTTCTACATTGATGAGTGGTATCTGGAGTCTTAAGACTTTTCAAGTTTCCAGCTAAGAAGCAACTATTACACAGTGGAATACTATGCATCATTAAAGAAAAGGGGAAAATTTGCAAAACACCATTTCCTATTGATGAATCTGGAGGATATTGAGAGAAATCAATCATAAAAGGGCAGCTGTTGTATGAATTTATCATAAAAATCTAAGTAAAGTTTTACAGAAAGAAAGAAAAATCCTTTCATGGTTACCAGGAATGAGAGTAGGGGAAGAGAGAATAAAAATATTAACTAGATAATAGACACATAATTCATGGGAAAGACAGTGTATAGTAATCAATAATCAGCACAATATTGACTACATTAGACCACATCATGAAGGAGATTACATCATTACTCAACTGCCATATTGCATCTTTACATCCAAATCACTGAAGATCATGGCCCAGCTAAATTAACATATAACATATTCAGTTCAGGTCACTGTCCCAAGGGCCCATCAACTACCAACTTCAGTCCTATGCCCTTTTTGTTTAGAATGCTTATCCTTTCTGTCAGAAAATTCAAATCATTCTTTATATCCTATTTATTGCTTGTACATATTTTCCCATAAAAAATTCTTCCTCCGAATTCTGTTAAAGAAAATATTTGCTGAGTACTTACTATGTTTGCAGCAGGAACTATCTTTCACACTTGATCCTCTATTTCGTCTATTAAAGCAGGTATTCTAGCTCACATTTAACATGTGAGAAGAATGAGCTCAGAGGGGTAGAGTAGTTTGCTTAATCCTAGAGTGAGGAAAGGCAGAGCCAGGATTCAAAGTGCGTCTATTTGAGTCCAAAGGTGGTGTTCTTCCTAGTGTTCCATTGACTTGGGGTTTATTTGAATGGGGGGAGGGGAAATCCCAGGACTTTGTCCTTTCTTTATTTAAATGGCCCCTCCATTTCTGAAGCAAGCCTCAAATATGCTTTTCCTGACAAGGGTGGGGTGGTCCTGGTGGGCTCAGCCGCGTAGGTGTGGAAGAGCTCTACTACACCCTCTCACTATTTGTCTTCTTTGCTTTTCTTGACTTACTCTTAGAAAGATGGCCTCCTCCAGAATCTACAAGTTGGATGATGGGAATCCTTATCTGAGCAACTACTTTCCAGCGAAAAATCTGCTTCGGATTCCTGAGGAAGGTCAGATGACTTTCATATACCTTTCCCTCGTATTCAGTTCATGTTTTGGAATGTATGTCTCCCACACTCATTCCTCCATCTCCAGCCCCTCATTACTGCCTTCTGTCCCATTCACCCTTATAAGCCCAATACATCTTCCCACAGCTGTCTCAGTGAGCCTTCCAAAGTGCACATCTGACTATAGTGTTCCCTTGTGTTCAGGGATTCCTCATTGCTGTTTGCTTAACCAAGCATTGTGTGTGTTCTTATGCTCTGCTATAATCCCATTCCTTAATTTATGTAATATTCAATAATATTCTTTTCACATAATTATTTTCAATTACTTAGAACATCCCAAGGGAGCACTGGTGGCCTTGTGGTAAGGAGCTGCACAGCAACCTGAAGGTATGAGGTTTGAATCTACTAAGGGCTCCACAGGAGAGAATGCACATTCTCCTTCCGTGAAATTTACTGCCTCTGGAAATGTGCCAGAGGGTCAGCTATGAATCAATTCCAACTCAATGGCACCTTACAACAACACAGTATCCCAGCTCTAATTCCCGTTAGCTAAACCTTTTCCATCCACAAAGCCCACCTCTTCCCTCACTTCTTCTAATAAGCCCACAGTGTTCATCCTCATCTGTGAAGTGTCCTTTTAGTGTCTCATAAGTAAAGTGACTTAAGCTGTAAGATTGTTCTGCAAAACGTAGTTTATCAAATATTTATCTAGTTTAAAATTTCCTAGATTGAAGACTCCCATAGCCATGAATGTTGTTGTTGTTATTGTTAGGTGCTGTCAGTTTTACTACAATTCATAGTAACCCTAGGAATAGCAGTGAAAGCTTTCTCTATCCTGCACCATCCTCCTAGTCTCTGCCATACTCTAGCCCATTGTTACAGTCACCATGTAAGTCCATCTTGTTGAGGGTCTTCTTCTCTTTCATTGATCCTCCATCTTTCCTAGCATGATGCCCTTTTCCAAGGACTTACCCCTCCTGACAACATACTCAAATTATGTGAGGTGGGGTTTCATGAATCTTGCTTCTAAGGAGCACCTTGGTTTTACTTCCTCCAAGGCAGACGTGTTTATTCTTTTAGCAGTCTATGAGATGTTCTCCAGCTGCACAATTCAAAGGCATTAATACATCTTCTGTCCTTTTCTTCTTAGCCATGAGTAGAGCCCTATAAAGGGAATGCAGTTTACAAATATGATGAGTTCACTGGATTAGAGTTGTTGCTTTAGAGGCAAGAATAAGCACCTTGATTACTCTTGATGCTATGATGTGCTCATTGTTGTGTACTTGGAATATTTAAAGAACCATTTCTTCCAATTTATCTTCCCATTTCACATAAAGACCATTTTGGTCACCTATCTATTTAAAATCCTCTTATGGAGGTATTAGTATGAATTCACAGTTACACCTGCACACCTACGGACTTAGAAATAAATGTATACATGTGTGTACTTATACACAAACCTACATGTCCTAGTTCAATGAGAGAACCTAGAAGCATTGACATCTCAGAAGCAAGGAGCACAGGTGGCGACAAGATCTTGGTTTCTGAAAGCCATTCTCCAATAAAAGGAGCCAGGCTACTTCAGAGAAATGATATGCTTGCAGGGCTTGAGCAAGAGAAATGCAAATTGAGCCTGGATACTTGTCTGATATAAAGATACTTAAAAGTTCTCAGAAAATGATGATGCCCTTGTGTACCATAGAGTTGGAACCGATCCATAGCTGACCCTCTGGCAGAATTTCAGAGGCAGTCAATTGCACGGGAGGAGATTACATACCTTCTCCCATGGAGCATCTGGTGGCTTCATACCACTTGTCTTCATGATTACAGCGTGGCTTCTTGCCACTAGGCCACCAGAGCTCCCTACAAAATGATGGGGCATGTAAAAAAGGCTTTGGAGCCAACTTGAAGAAACTCCCAGTGACTAAATCTAGGACAATTTGAGCAGCCAAACAATAATGATAGAATTGGATTATAAATGAAGGAATATTCTTATATCTGTACTGATACTGAGGTATGTTTGGATATATAGATAAGGGTGGGAGAAGCAGAAGTGTTTCCTTATGCTAGATGTCTAGTTATTACATGTACAAGGAATCCGGGAAAATACACAGTTATCATTAGAACATCACGGTGATGTCTGCAAGTAAGAACCATTTATGGAGGTTGAAATTCATGGATGAAAATATGTTGAGAAACAGGGACTTTGTATAAGCTCAAAGTATCTCTTACAAAATGTTTATTTCAGAGAGAAAAATAGTAACTTCATGGTAGAGATAACATCTTAAGCAAGTGATCAAAGTTATCATCACTGGCAATTAGACATAGTATACTCCCTGATATGCCCAGAATGACTGTGGCAGTCTGGCCAAGGCGCAAAACCCTGATATAATCACGAGAAAGTATTAAACATACTCACATTGAAGGATAATTTGCAAAGTAATTGACCAATATTCTTCCAAAATATCAAAGTAATAAGACAAAAATGAGGAACAGTTCCAAGTTAGACTAAGCAGAGAAGACGGATGACTAAATGCAATGTAGGAGTCTGGATTGCTTCCTGGAACTGAAAGAGGACATTAGTGAGAAAACTGATAGAATCTGAAGGTCTGTATGTCAATCACTAATAGTAAATCAATGTTAATTTCTTGGTTTCGATAATCTATTATGATTATATAAGATGCCAACATGAGGGGAAACTGGGTGAAGGCAGTACAGGAAGTCTGTGTACTATTTTTATAACAGTCTGTGAATTTAAAACTATGTCAGAATTTAAAATAAAACAAAATCCAACCCTTCTATGAATTCCTTTCCTGCTAAAAGTCTACCTCTTTAAACTCAAACACTTTGATTTTCAAGACCTTTATGTTCTGTTTAGTCTAACCTGTTTCATTTCATCTCTTTCCCTCATGTTGATCACTTGACATAGTAGAGACCTTCATTCTTGCCAATATTAGGTTTTTGTTGACAGCAACTCAGATTAGATTTTCCAGGATCTCACACTATATGGTTGAAACAAAGAAGAACCAGAGTCTATGCCTTAGAGATAGTGACAGACCATAGAAATGGGCTGCCTCAAGTGTCAGCCAACACTGGGAATAAGAATGGTTCATATCTGACTTACGACAGGAACTGCATCCTAGGGTAAGATCAAGTAAGCCCCTGAACAGAGGTGGTGGCGTGCATGAGCAATGGCCCAGTGGTCAGAGGCACCATGCTGGTTCCCACAGCCCTGTGCTGTTCTACTCCATGGTCTTGATATTTAATACTCCCAAATATTTCTTCTACTCGTTCCTCTGCTCAGTCTGCCTGATTTTTTTTTCATCTCCTTATGATGACCTTTTTCAATTTGCTAAAGCCACCTTATGCCCTAGGCTGGAAGACCCATCTTCTGGGCACTTAACATATTCTCTATGTTATTGAGTCCTTTCGGTTCAGAAACCAAACTAGTTGCCATTGAGTCAGTCCTGAGTCTTGGGGACCCCATGTAAGAGTACAACTGTGACATGAATAAAATATAAGATTTTCACTGTCTGGTTTTTCCAGACCTTGTTTTATTCGCCCCCATGTCTCTAGCTCCTGCCACAGAGTAGATGTTCAGAAAGAGTTCCAAGTGGTTGACTGCCTGGGCAGCGGCCCTGGCCAAAGCCATCCATTCAGCAACACTGCTATAAACATTAAGTTAAGATTTGTGCAGGCCCTGGGAATACTGAGATGAAGGAATCTGTGTCCTTGTTCTTCTGGAACTTCTACTCTAGAGAGGAAGGGGCGGGGGGAATCAGTAAGTGTTCAGATTAAATAATTGCAGATTTCCCTGAGTGCTAGGCTCTCAGCCATGACGGAAGAGAAAAAAGATTCCAGAATGTCCAGAATCTCATGGGGTTTTTCTAGGATTACTAAATACAATGACATCAACACCACCCTCAGTGCCGTCTAGTTAATTTTGATTCACAGCAAGACTCCATTGGGCTCCCAACACTATAAATCTTTATGAGGAGACTATTTCTTTTTTGCTTAGAAGCATTTTCTAATTTTTTCATATACTGAACATGTATTATTTTTTAAAAAGTAACCGCTGCCCTATTATTTTCTTATTTTGAGTTTCTAACATAGTCTTTCCCCTATACTGATGAAATTAATAATAAATTCTGGTAAGATGGAACCTGTTGTGTTTAGGTCACCCTTTGAGCTTTTCCCAAAAGATGACAAATGTGAAAATAGCTAACAGGCACAAGAAGCATGATAAGCTTTACAGATGGAAATGGGGAAAGCATCAGAAACACTTAATCTGTGGCCTTGAGGAGATGATTCACGTTTAGAGACAAAAGTGTAAGATGGGGACAGTAGCATGTCTTCCATTGAGTCTCTGGGGACAATTAAGTTAAACAGAGTGTGTAGAGTTCCCCTCCTCTGCTCTCTGCCAGCACAGTATCCAGTACATATTATGTAATAAGTATTCTAGATAATTACTCGGTATGTACACTAGTTGTGACTTTAGAGGCATTTCCTCCCCTCTTCTGATCTTCTCAACAGGCCGAGGACACTGGTTAGTATGTCGAAAATCTAACCTCAAGAAGAAGTCCAAGAGTGTAAATGAGGCACCAGATGAAGAAGGTCAAGAAGTTAAGCAAAAGAGTCCCTCAGAGGTCAGGGGAAACAGAAGGTCTCAGAGGGAAAACCAAGTGACTAATCCTGGACAAATTTTAGACCGAGCCTTTCTGGTAAGAGTAAATTCGTCCTGGAATGCCTAGCAGCATCAGCTGATGACTCTCCTAGTGGAGAATGAGGACACACCAGTTCTTATCTGACACAACTACCTGCAGTTCATTCCATCCTTCCGCTCTTAAGAGTGATGTTGGTAAACTAAAAACAACTAAGATGATGAAGGGACCAGTGCTTTCATTATATGATGAAAGACCAAAGAAGATGAGTGTGTTACAGACTTCTTTTCCTAACCACTGAGTGAGGCATATGTTATCATCTTTATTATATTGTCACCATTTGTGCAGATAAGCAAATTGAAGCCCCAAAGAGTTGAGTTGGCAAGGCCCTAAAGCTCATAAGTGGTTGGTCTAGGACTAGAATGCTCATTTACTGCTTTTGAAGTCCTATCAGGTAAAAATTAAGTTGGGAGTAAAGAATAGGTAATAGGGACAGTCAATTGAAAATTCCATTCTAGCTCCTAGTTGTTGTTGTTGTTATATGCCGTCAAGTCACTTACGACTCATAGCGACCCTATGTACAACAGCCCTAAACCCTGCTCTATCCTGTGCCAGTCGCACTGTCTCTGACACACCCATCCCGATTACCACAGTCACTGAATCAATCCACCTCATAGAGGTCTTCCCCTGCTGCATTGTCCCTCCACCCTCCCAAGCATGATGTCCCTCTCCAAGGACCTGTCCCTCCTTACAACATGCCCAAAGTATGTCAGACGAAGCCCCAGAATCCTTGCCTCCAAGGAGCAGCCCGCTTTAACCCTCTCTAGGATGAATCTGTTTGTTTTCTTGGCAGTCTATGGTACCCTCAATACTCTTCTCCAACACCACAGCTCAAAGGCATCAATTCTCCTTCTATCCTCCCTAGTCATTGTCCCACTCTCTGATGCATAACAAGTAATTGCAAAGAGCTCCTAGTAGCTTGTTGAAATTCCTGCTCTGCTTTCAGGAGATCTCACCAGAACAGGGAGGATTGGGGAAGCCTTATCTTTCACAGCTTTTCCCCTTTTCAGCATCTGGCTGAAAGCCAGAGCTGATGATCATATATTATCCAATACACGAAGCAGGCTTTATGAGGAGGGCTGGGTGGCTGTCATAGACTTTGGCTAAGTAATTTCAGATTTCTTCTCTGCAGTGTCCTGATGGCTTTGTAAAAAACACACTATGTAAATGAACATTAATGTGCAGTTCGGTAGCTCCCTGAGAAGACCTCTCTGGGAACCACTTTGTAGCTAGACTCTATGGTTTCTGAAAGATTGATTTCTGCACAGATCAAATGTTGAAAGAGTTTGAGGAGGTGGTTGGTCTCATTTCACCTCAAGTAGCTGTTGTAAACTTTTGATAGAGTCCTATAGGATTTGTTTCATTAATATGTCCATTTCTCATCTAAGAGAGATACAGAAATCTACCTGTTATTTTTCTAATACTGAGGAGGTGAAGAAACACTTTCTGTAGTGGTATTATTTCTCTTTAATTGTTTCCAAATGTATATACATGTTCCCAGTAAAGATGGCTTTTACCCATGATGTCACTCAGTAGCTAGCAGTTTTTTTCAAAGTAATTGGAAACTCCACCTGTCACATGTTATTATGGGTCTTGAAGTCAGAATTGACTCATAGCAGACCATCCAGCAGATTTTCAGAGTCTGTAAATTATGCAAGAGGATAGTGCTCGTCTTTGTCTCACAGAGCAGCTGGCGGATTCGAATGATCTGACTTTGGGCTGGCAGTTCAACTCTTTACCCACTAGGCCACCATATCTCCCTAAAAATAATAAAAGTATGTTATTTCACACAAAAAGATGCCAGAAGCATTGTTATTCCATGGTAGGCTAATTTGCTGGTTTAATGATATTTTCCAAGCCCTGAATTTCTTCCTTTACCATCCTCCGCATGTTAACTTGTCCTCTTGGGATTACTGCCTGCATGATCCTGACCTATTTGTAACAATTCCAGTCATTACATATAGAGAATAATATCCAGAGTTAGAAGGACTTTGTTTTGCTTTATTTTGTATATTTTTAAAAGCAAAAAATGTTCCTCCTTCCTCAGCTGACCTCCTTCTGTTTCCAAACAGTGTCTCAATGTTCAGACTTATATGGAACCTCCATGATTGGCGTAAACAGGTCAAGACTTACCCTTTGGTTAAAGGTTTCAGAAGAATGTATCTAGTTGGAGAAACATAGTAAGATTGGGGTTATTTAATATGGAAGAAGTAGAGAAATGGCTATTAGGTAATTAACAACGTAAGGTACACTGGTCTCTCCCCTTTCTCTCTTGTGTTATCCTTTCCATGTGTAGGATACATGGCATTTTCCCCCACAAAAAATATTTTTCACAAAAACATGTAATTTCCTGAATAAAAACCTTTACTGGCTTTCTCTTGGCTGTGCCATGAAATCTACATGTCTTTACAGAGCCAACATGGACACATAATTACTGTCTTTTGTAGCATTGGTTTTCATCCTCACACAATTGTATCTCTTGTTTCTATAGTCTGACCTATCTTTACAACTCCTACTAGCTATTTTAGGACTTAGCACTTGGTCTTAGTGAGATATTACTTCCTCAGGTAATTCCTTATTTTCAGACTGAGATTGTTATTTTTAAACATTCCTCTAGGTCATATAGCCCTGGTGTGTCCACTTGCTGTACAGTGGTAACTTGTGGTTGCTGTGAGGCTGAACACTGATGCTGATGTGTCAAATGCTTTAATGGTTGATTACCCAAGGTGGATAGAGAGTGGGGTGGAGCTCCCCAGTTAAAACAAGCTTGGAAGCAAGAGTGGCATCCAATTCCAAAATAGCTTGCCTCTGGAAAACCTATGAACCTGGAGAGAGAATGAAGGACACACAAGTGTTGAGGACTGTCCTTTATAGGGTCGCTATGAGTCGCCTGCAACGCGAAGGCACTTAACAACAACAAGAACAACGCAAATCTTTAGGGAGCTCTGTAGTAAGAAGTTGCATTGCAGTGCCAAAGGCGCTCTGCAAGAGAAGGATGAGCAGTCTCCTCCCAAGCAATTAACTGCCTCTGAAATCCCACTAGAGGGTCAGCTATCAGTGGGCTCTAAGTCAATGGCACACAACAACATAGTATCTTTAATTTCTCTTTTGAAATTGTTATATTCATAAGTACTTGTTTAACACCTGGCTTCCTGTAATATTATAAACACTCTGAAGACGTAATATGTTTCTGCTGCTCCTTCATTATCTTCCCAATGATTGACATAGGAATGAATGAAGTTTGTGTAAGCAGAAATAACTCCTCTAAAGTTGAGAGTTCTTTCTTTTTAACATTTTGAGTCATATATAGTAGTTGAAAGAGCACAGAGTTTGCTGATTACAGATTTAAATTCAAACCACAAATCTAACTGTGAGGCCTTATGCAAGGCACTTAGCCATGGGGTTTTATAACTTTATGAAAGGATAAACTCTATGATGAAGAATTTAGTCAGTGGTAAAATAAAGCTCGTTTGTATGCTTAGCATAATATGTGGCCCAGAGTAGTGTCAATAAATTTTGTGGATGGATGAATGAATGAACAAGGAAACAAATTATGACCCTGTATAGGATTTCCAATGAGAAAAAGAAAGAATAAAGATAAAGCCCAGAAGCAGAGTTTTTAAAGGACCAAATAGAAGAAGCTAAGTCCCAAAACAACAGAAAAGAGACCACCAGAGCAAAATAAACCCTTCCAACAACATTGTCCATATTACTATATCCATTTTATAGATAGAAAACTAAGGTATAAAAGAATTGAACTGGCACCTTGATTCTCAGCAACTTGAAGCCCAAGATTTTTCCACTACACCAAGCTGCTCCCCTCAAAGAAGGAAGACTCACTTGTTGTCTTGGAAAATTATGACTCTTGTTGGGGCTTTGAGAGCTGACTCTGATCTGTGTTCCAGCTGAAGCACCATCGTATGAAGAAGCCATCAGACCTGTGCCACGTTAATGTGAGCGGCTTGAAGCTCTCCACGGTAAGGCCAACCTAAAGCACAAACTCACTGCAACTTTGTCTATTCTGAACCAGTAAACTTCTCACTGGATTGAATTAGACCTGAGGTGGTGCCCAGCTGGTTTATCTGTTGTATCTCCAGAGCCCTTGGAGCCTAGAAATGTGTTCATATGGGAGGAGAGGACAATAGATAGGGTCTCACTGCATAAAAACAATATTTAACCCAAAAATATTCTGTAAACTTGATAGTGCAATTACTCCAATTGAGATGAACTAAAGGTAATATTCTTATGAAATTGGTTTTGAGTTTGCAATAGAATTTTGTTGTGGTGTGATAGGCTGTGTGGCTTTAATCTCCCATCACATGAGCCCAAAGGAAAGAGAGCATTCTCATTTCATTGCCAGGAATGGTTATAGTTATCCCAAGAAGTTTATTTGTCCTTAACTCATAGACATCGTGGTTCATGTAATGAATCCTGCCTCTTGGTTTACACTGGCTAAAGGGCAGCTTGAAAGGAAACTTGTGGCCTCCATTTGCTAGCATTCTGTGGCTTTTATTTTGTAAGAACACTGCTCCCCCTCTTCTTAGACCTTCCATGGCAACCAGGAGAGTTTACTTACATAAACCAGTCTCCTGGAACCACAGAATGGCCACATTAGTGATGAAGCAGACTGTTTCTAAGAGGGTTCTGTTTCACTTCACTTAGTACGCATATTCTCAGAATTGAGTCAAAAAGTAGTTGTGTTGGGCTGAAAGGCCTTCTACAACAGGCTAGTATACTGATCACCAGAGATGTTAATATGCAGTTCACATATAATTTTGAGACAAGGCCAAACATAACAGGAGTCTCTCTCAGTATATTGTTGACAGTATCGATGTGTGCTGACCAAAATTCAGCTTCTTCCTTCCCTCACATCCATTCTAATTTCACTCACTCATTCATTTACTTATATACATACGCAGAAGCCTCCTCACCAAGCATTACTGAGGCCTACTCCAAGATTGTGCTGTTTACTGAGGGCACAGAGGTGGCTCAGAATCTGCCTTGGTCTCCCTGGAATACATAGTCCAATGGGGAGGGGAAAAGACAGGCTTAAACACAAATTAGATAAAAGAGTTCTAATCTCTCTAATGTTTCATTTCTTTAAAGGAATTTGAAGCAAAGACAGCAAAATATTCTGATAGAGCTGTATAATGGTTTATAGAGTATCATTCACTGTATCTTTTTGTATATTTTAACTCTTTCATAATAGAAGAAGCAGAATTAAAGTCTCTACAGCCCTCAATAAATGGTTGCTCCTAAGATTAGGATGTCTCTTATCCTTTTTGGTCTTCAAACAGCAGCTCTGGAGCTTCCGCATGATACCAGATAGAGAACTAATCTTGTGTTTCTTCTAAACTGCCTTCCCACAGGCTAAGGAAAAAGACTTCAAGCATTTCCGTTCTGTTATTTACATCAATGCCTCAGAAAACCTGCTTCCTCTAGGTAAGCTTTTCTTTCTGAAACTACTTTTAACCTCTTGTTTAGCACAGCTATTCACTAGTGTTAGGATCTGGTCGTTGGCCCATCCATTACTGAACATGCATGTCCTTTCTGGAGTACAGTAGGCTGGCACTGGATAACATACAGACCTGAATTATAGCCAAACCCTGACACTGTCTATTTAGAACATTTTCTGTGAGCTGTTGCTTCTCTTTATGAAAGACAGATAAAACTCCTTCTGCTTTTCTCTCCTTTACAGGATATATTCGAACTCAGAGAAGTGTATAAAGATGTGTTTAGGCTGGTATTAGTCAATATAGGGCACAAAGCCTCCTGGTTTATTCAGCAATTCTACAGTGACCCCTACTGGATATCAGGACCATATGTTGGTTGGCTTTTAGAAATGAGTGCATCTTGCTCCTGCTCTGATGAGCATGTGTGAGTTTGGTAGGAGAGATGGGCTCAGACTCCCATTGTAGCAGAATGTAGTAATTGCAATGATAGAGGGAATAGGGAAAAGCTGTGCAAGAACATAAACGGGACTTCAAGCCAGACCACGGTGTCAGGAGAGACTTCTGGGTAGTACTTAAGTCAAGACCTAAAACAAAAACTGTAACTCAGGAATTAGACACAGAAGGCATTTCAGACTGATGGCACAGATGTGGCAAAGCAGCGCCTCGTCAGGGGGCCTGAAGAGGCGTTGCATATTTGTGGAGGATGTGTGTGGGAGAAAATTAAAACTAGAGAAGTTTATAGTGGCTAAATCTGTTAAGGGCCCAAGTGTGGACTTTATTCTACAGGTAAAAGAACGATGAAAAGCTTTTAAATAGAGAAGCTCTGTGGCAACACTGAGGAGGATGGATAAAATAAGAGCTGAGAGACTGCATTATCCCAGAAAGGGATAGCTCAGAACCAGAACCAGGGCTGTGTTTACAGGAGTAACGGGCTGGGAAGAGGGGTGCAGAAGATAGTAGAAATAAGAGGACTTGGAAACTGCAAGGAGTAAGGAGAACAAGGAGCCTGGGAACTTTCACTGATACAGAAAGCACTAGAGGAGAGGCAGGATTGGGCCACATAGGCGAGTGCAGTTTTTATTGTCTTGAGTTAATGGGCTCTTCTTTTTAAGCATGTGATGAGGTTTTTCCCTTGAGGAGACCCTACAGCTTGTCGAAAGTGTGGGCTGAAAAGACAAAGGCCAGTGTTATCAGATGTTATTGTTGTTGGTCCAATTCATAGTTGTTCCACATGACAGAGTAGAGCTGCCCTACTGGGCTTTCCTGGCTGTAATCTCTGCAGAAGATTTCCAGATTTTTCTACCACAGAGCCTCTGGGAATGCTTGACTTGCCAGCTTTTCACTCAGTTGTCAACTCTTTAACTATTATGCTACCAAGACTTTTTATATAATGGTCAGTCAACATATGATAAGATATTTAGCCTTACTAATGATTAAAATATCATCAAGATACTATTTTCTGTCTATCGAATTTTGCAAAAATGTAAAGGGCTGATGACAGTCGGGACTGGAAGGGCAGTAGATACCCTCACAGGCAACTGATGGAAGTTTAAATTGATGAAACATCTTTGGAAGGTAATTTGTCAATGTCTCTCATCATTTAAAACAGTAATTTTAGTATAATATTTCACTTCTAGGAATTTATCCTACGCAAATATACCTTCACAAGAATGCTCATTGAAAACATCCTGACCACCCACCCACCAAGCAGGCTTTTCCCTTCATATGTAGATTGTCGGCAATGGAGAAAGCAACCTTCAATAAGATGGATTGATACAGTGACTGCAACAGTGGGTTTAAACACAGTGGCAATTGTGAGGATGGTTCAAGATCAGGCAAAAGGTTTCAATCTGTGATACATAGGTCACTAGGACTATGTGTCAGAATTGACTCAGTAACACCTGGAAACAGCTGAACATTCTGACTCACGAGACTATGAGTGTGTTCTGACTTGACAAAAATGAGAGAGAGAACACCATTAGCATACCATTTGTTTAAGTTACACAGGTGTCAGGGCTGAAATTCAGGTCTGTTTTTATCATAGAGCCTAAAGGCCACCATTAGGGACACAGATAAATAAACTAGGTTATACAATGAGATGGATTGACACAGTGACTTAAGCCCTGGCTCTAAGGTATCAGAAATGATGAGGTTGGTATAGCATAGGGTTCATTGGGTCACTATGATTTGTACAAAGTGGCACCCAGCAACAACAACAACACATACTATAATTCAGTCATTAGGCATATCAGCATGTTTTAATATGGAAAATCTTTTTACGTTTACTTTTAAGAGACAATTATTTCATGGTACAGTGTATATAGTCAAAAGTGAAAATCATTGCCGTGGGGCCAGAGCTGACTCATAGCTGACCCTCCAGTGGCTTCTGAACCTCTCTTGGGTTTCTGAGGCTGTAATCACATGAGGTGGACAGTGTTTACTGGAGCTTCCCAAATAAAAAAAGCCTGGAAGCAAGAGTGGTATCCACTTCTGAAATGGCTTGCCTCTGGAAACTCTATAAACAGTGCTCAGGTCTTTCGTTCATAAGGTCACTATGAGTCGTCTACGACTTGATGGCACCTAACAACAATCACATGAGAGAAAAGTGTCCATTTTTAACCTGCAAAGCCGCAGTGGATTCAAACCCCCAAAGAGTCTTGGCCTTTGGGTTTAGCAATGCAACTCTCTATGAACTATTATTCCATTTTTGTAAAAAAGAAATACTTAATATGCACAAAACAAAAAGTCTAGAACATTATTCATGAGGCATATAATAGTTTTCTCAGGGTGCTGAGATTATAGGGGAAATTTTTCCCCCTGTGGTGTTTGACTTTTTGTAATGGACAGGACTTTTTGTAATATATAATAAATCCAAGATGGGCTTTTGAGTCTGTCAGGCTTAGATTCAATCTTAGGCCATCTACTTAATCAGAAATGCCGTCTCTGGTAAATCGCTCAACCTGAGTAAACCTTGATTTCCTCAGCAGTAAAATAGAGGTGGGGTGGTTGTTTTTTTTATGTACCATCGAGTCATTTGCAACTCATAACGACCCTGTGAAACCTGCTCAATACTGTGCCAACTTTACTGTCTCTGACACACCTACCCTCATTACCCCAGTCACTGCATCAGTCAATTTCTTTCATTACTGAATCAATCCATCTCACTAATGGTCTTCCTCTATGTCTCTGTCCCTCGACCCTTCCAATCATGATGTCCCTTTCCAAAGATTGGTTCCTCTTTGCATCATGTCCAAAGTATGCCAGACAAAGCCTCAGAATCCTTGCCTCCAAGGAGCAGCCTGGTTTCACCCTCTCTAGGATGAACCTGTTTGTTCTCCTGGCATGATTCCTATTTTTCAATGTTGTGAGACAATTAGAAACCATGTAGGTAAAGTACTTAACATAGTGTTTATCCTAAAGTAAGAACCCAGTACATGGTCTTTGTTAATATCTTTCTCTTTTTAAATTCTTTATGAGCCTTAGATGTTCTCTGTCTCTTTCCTATGTAGAGGCATTTCACACGTTTCCAGCCCTAAAGGAATTGGAGCTCGCACTTAATGGCATCAAAACGATCTACATGAAATATGGAGACTTTAAGTGCTTAGAAGTAAGTTGAGATTAGGAAGTTATTAGTGCCCACTTAAAGGAATAAAAAGAAAGACTATGGAGTTCTCTAGTGATTAGAACTCTTTGGAGGGTTTTTTTCCTCAGTCATTATATCTAGGCACTTGCTTCAGAATTGGCCTACAGGGAGGATGGAGGAGTGTTGGTGGTGGTTGGCAGCGGCAACATTAAGTAGATGAGAATGTATCATACCTGTGGCCACAGTGTAAGCAATAGTGGTTCAATGCTATAATTCTCACCTTCCATGCAGGAGACAAGGGTTCTATTCTTAGCCAGTGTACCTAACTACCACTACAACCCCATTGCTTTGGAGGTTCACATAATGCTTTGAGGCTGAATAAGCTTCAGCAGATTGTACAGACTAGGAAGAACTTTCAGACAAGGAGAAACTTACAAACCAGGCCAAGGGGAGTGGGTACTATCTAATGAGAACCACGGTAGTTTGATCATGTTATTCATGGTGTGCATAGAGTCTCCAGGAGTCAGAGGCTGTGCCAAAGCACCTAACAACAACAATGTGGTCATGGCATGTGGTTCTGGAAAATAAATGCCAATAGTTATGTCCATGGGAGTCTGTTTGTGCAGAAAAGTAGACTTTAACAGTGTTACAAGAAGGAAAGTTTGAGAGGATATTTGGATATAATGGTAGTGAGGAATCTTAGAGGTAAGGAAGGTAGGCACAGCAGATTTAACCAACTGAACTAGAATCATTATGGACTGATTCCAGAAACGTATTTTGGTCTGTGTGAGCCAGATGATTTCCAACTGGGATAGGGCATGTTACAGCCTAACAGTCCAGAACTGAATGTGAAATAAGGCTCCTCTGCATGCTACAGCATTCTCTCAACAGTTCAGCATGCACGTGTCTTCCAAACTCCAGGTTGGAGAATATAGAGAAGTTTGGATTCTTAACTTTTAAATGAAATTTCCCATACATTGTTATGCGTTTTCTGTGTATCTTCATACTTCAAGATTATCTCATCTTTAACTTTTATGAACATTTTCTTCTCACATGAAGGCTCCTTTTCACAGAACAGTCTTTTGGCAGTACCTGAGAGTCATTTTTCATATATACAGAGTAGAAAACAATGGAGCTGGAATGAGGTATAGGGCTGGGCATTTGCCAAGTTTACTTGCTGCCTGATGCTTTCTTTCCTCTCGTGCTGACTTTACAGCTGATGTATTTCAGATTATAAATGTCTGCATGCTATGAGTCTTTTCATTAGACACCAAAAGTATTTGTAACTTAAATTATTTCATCTATATACAGCAAAAAGAATTGGTGCCTTTTGTTAGAATTCTAAGAAAAATTCTTCTAGCCTTTTCCTAGTAGAATTGTGGTATTGGTAAAAAATATTGAATATGGACTGCCAAAAAGAACAAACAGATATGTCTAGAAGAAGTGCAATCAGAAAACTCCTCAGAAATAAATGTGATAAGACTTTGCTTTGACTCATAGAGTTTGGGCCTGTTATCAGGAGGGGCCAGTCCCTGGGAAAAGTCAAGGGTCAGCAGAGCTGGGGAAGACCCTCAAAGAGATAAACTGATATGGTGATTGCCATGTAAGGCATAGCAGTGATTGTGAAGATGATGTGGAATTGGCAGGGTTTTGTTCATTGTGCATATGGTTGCTATGAAGACAATATAAAAACAACAACAAAGATAGCAACAAGTGTCAGTCATTCCTCATAAAACCTTCATTAACCTGGTCATGTTACAGAGGTAGATTTTAGGCCAATAATGGCCTTTATATACCAATTTTTAAAAGTTTTTGAAGCTAGAGGGCAATCCTCCTAAAAGGGATTATGTATCCTTTGCAATCTTAAAGCTTTCTATACTGAAGATGATGATACCTTACCTCCATGGTTACAAGTCATATTGAGGATAACAGTGATCATTCAGATACTGCATGCCTTCAAATGAGGAAAAGTATGATTCAGGGTTGTATCTTTTCAGCACATTTGGTCAATATGTATATTGAGTAAATAATCCAAGAAGCTGAACCATATGAAGAAAAGTGAGGTATCAGCATTAGAGGAAGCCTCATTAACAATTTGTGATGCACAGATGACACAGCTGTGCTTGCTGAAAGTGAAGATTTGAAGCACTTTATGGATAAGATAACCTTCAGTATGGATTATATTAACATAAAACCAAAACCCTCACAACTTTCCCAATAAGCAACACCATAATCAAGAATTTCATTTACTCTGAGCCACAACCAATGCCTGTGGAAAATGCAGTCAAATTAAATTCATTACTTTGGACGGATCTGCTGCAAAAGATCTCTATTGCTATGTTGAGAATTAAGTTGCAGCTGACTCCAGCCATGGTATTTTTAATGACCTCATATGTATGTAAGATCTGTATAGCAAATTTGGAAGACCTAAGGGTTGATGCCTTTAATTATGTTGTTGAAGAATATTGAATTATACCATTGACTGTCACAAGTGTAGACAAATCTGTCTTGAAAGAAATACAGCCAGGACCTTAGAAGTGGAAGTGATGACACTTTGCGTTGTGTATTTTGGATCTATTATCAGAAGAGACCTGTCAATTCTTAAAGAAAGCTGTCAGACTTGATAAAGGGTCAGCAAAGAAGAGGACCCTCAGTGAGAGGAGGATTGACAAAGTGACAGTAACAATTGGCTCAAACATAGGAATGATTGGCAAGCTCTAGTGGCAAGAAGCTGCACTGCAATCCCAGATGTTTGTGGTTCGAATCCACCAGATGCTCTGCTGGAGAAGGAGGAACAATCTCCTCCTGTGCCAGTCAGATCTGATT